GTGTTGGAGGCTATCTATAATATTTACCATGGTGAGAGAATGGAGCCACTGTCAGTGTTACCGCATTCAAACTGAACTTACTCGATGACTCAAGTGGCTTCTTGAGTCTGTAGCTTTATTTTTTTTTAACTCGAACAGAGAGCTAACTTGAAATGAAACTCCTTTAGTGAATTTAAAGCAGCTGTAATCAGTATGTGCTGAGTCTAATGATTATGTATACTGTGAATGGAGCAGCTTAAGCCACGCAGAGCTATAACCTGAGTCTGCAGCTCCCCCCAGATCGCTCCCACTGCTCATAAAAAACTCACTATACCTGCTGAGCACCAAACAGAAGCAGTTTCCAACCAGCTGCTATCATAACTGTGCATTTAGCAGCTATTTACCTCAAGAGTTAGTTGAGATAAAATTGTTGTTTAAGAAGAGCGAATGTTGCTCTTAAATTTGTCAGGTGGCCAGCGGCACAGCGCCAAATGAAGGATAATGTTGCTCTGTACTGTGTCTGCAGGCTGTGTAAACAGGAAACTGTTTGCTAACAAGTTCAACATATCAGCTTAAAAGGTGATAATATGTCACTGTCGTGTTTACAGATTGTTCTTGCAGCACCCAAATGGCCAAAAATAAAACGGAATTGTTGTCTGCAAATTCGGCAAGCAGGGAAATCTAGTTTATCATAATAGGAGTTTAAGTGTGTTTTCAGTACTGTGCATGAATACTAAACTCGTTTTATTTTCCCAGTATGAAGCCAGCTATAGCACTCATTATGAACTCTCAATGTTACACGTTGTAGAGCTTGAAACATCCCAATGCTTTTTAAAGTCTCTCCAGTTTAGCTCTTTTAACCTTTTCAGCAGTATATTGCAGTCTGGGGAGAATAGGTGGTGATTCTTCAGTCTGCTTTAGCTGATAAAAAAGACGATAGGTTTTTGGATGTGTGATTTGTCACAGGGAGAATGGGGTTTCAGACGGCAGAAGAAAAATATGAGCAAAGTGTATTCTCTTTACCTGAGTTCAGCACAGTGGCGCACTGCTTAGCATTGTTGTTTCACAACAAGAAGCCTCTGGGTAGAACTTCCCGGTCAGTTAGTGTCTTCATGTGTAGAGTTTGCATGTGGCCTCTGTACCTGGGTGGTTTCTGTCTTGGTGCTACAGTTTTCTCACATAATCCAAAGACATTGTGTTAGCTTAATTAGGGATTCTGCGTTGACTTTAGGTGTGACACATTTGCCCCACTACATGTGGGCAGTGTTGGGAAGGTTACTTTTAAAATGTATTCCACTACAGATTACAGATTACATGCCCCAAAATGCATTTTGTAACATATTCCGTTACGTTACTCAATGAGTAACGTATTCTGAATACTTTGGATTACTTAATATATTATCATGCTTTTAAAACTACATGAATGTACTATTGCTGTGTGAGTTATTACTATTACTGAAGGTTACTCGCCATACCAATACCAACTAGATTTTTAAATCTTAATATTAATGAGTAACAGCAGGTTGACATTAGGTCAGGCTGCACTTTTTGCAGTGATCTCGTATAGAAAACTATTCCGCACGTATATAAAAAAGGTCCACGGCTCCGAACCGTAGTAAAGGGACCTCTGGCTAATACGTCAGGTTCCGTGTCGGGCTTGTAGCTGAAAACTAGCTTTACTTGGTTGTCTGGGTCAACTTTGTATATACATATATATATTATATATTTACATGTTTCCCTCTCCCGTTTCTGCTCGGTGACAACTCGTACTTTTCTACTCTCCTTTTTCTCCCTCCTCGCGCTCACAGACACATAACAGGTATGGCAGTCCATTCTCCCTGCAGCACAGACTACACTACCCATGAGGCTACATTCTTTAGGGCTATGCCTGTAACACTCTGCTTATTGCCTTCATATTAAATCATTTTGTGAATAATCTTTTAAAATATTTCTTCACGTCATTATGCGGGCCGCAAGTAGAGGTGACATGGGCCGCAAGGTTGAGACACAGACATTAGAGCCTCTTAATGCGTGTTTTGTCTCCAAAAATATGGAGATAGCCTTATGAAAACTGAATGTCATCTTTGAAAGGGAAGTAATTGTTTTTTTTATACAAAAGCATGTCCTCATATGGATACAACAAGTTTATTTCACAGTGTAATACAATAAAGTTTAACAAAGTATGCCAAAATGTAATGTAATATGAGGCCTGGGGTTTCAGGAAGATAACATGCACGACTTACAGGTGTTTTTTCAAATACAGAAATACCGTACTATACTTCTCTCTCAACCATTCTAACTCTCATACAAAGCCAATTATCATTTACAACACATTCTGTGTGTCACATCTCTTTTTGTATTATATATAATGACGGTTGTGGCCTTCCATAGTTCACTTCCAAAACCCTTATGGGACCAGGATACTCAAAGAACTGTAAGATCACTTACCACACTACCTAAGCAGACTACAGCTGTAGCTAGTATAACACTGACAGGTCACACCTTAGATACTGAATGACAACACAGTACCTGGAACTGCTAGTTAAAGACATTTCCGTCACCCTGTGACACCCAGTTCTCTGTTCAGCCAGTCACTGCTACAACCGTGTAGTGTGTGAGCATGTGAAACAGGGTCTTAAATGTGCCATCTTCATTGCAGTCTAAGGATTCATTCACCTTGTAATTATGCAGTAGCCTTCTGGCCACCATCTCACAGACAGACAGACAGATGCACTGAACCTGCGACAGAGTTACATGAACTGTGAACAGTATTTCTTTCTCATCTTCTCCCTGTGATGCTCAACACTTGACAGGGTTTCGATGGTGCGGTGGATGGGTAGGTGGGCGAATTAGCACGTTTCTGTGTGTGTCGGTGTGCCAGCGTGTGTAGGTGTGTGTCAGTTTGTCAGCAGTGGCACCTACAGGACGCGAACACGTGGGGCTACAGTCAGCTCAGGCGGATGAATTACAGCAGCCTGCGCCGTTGTAAAACGCTGGTGTATTTGTCAGCACACTGCTGCGCCCGTCCAGGAACACTGACTCAGATAAGTGGCTGCTCCCTCACTGTAAATTGTGTATGGGAGGTCGGAGAGATGTAAGAAGTGACAAACCAACACAGCAAAATGAAAATGTGTGCAGTTAACATTCTGCATTCAGCTCCCAGGCAAGATTTCATGCTTGCTGTGGGAGAGGGCTCTTACCATTGACTGATCGGTGAGTCACTCCACTCTGATACAGACAGCATCTGTTGGAGCGAATTTAATGCAACATGGATTTCTGCTTTGTGAATTATGAGTTTTCATAATCTTGATGCAATATTACTGTCTTTTCATAGTGAGCTTTGAGGATGAATAAACCTGTGACAGAAGACACACGTGACAGTCACACTCAAATATCTCTCTTTCCTTGATTTGCTCTCTATTGTGTGTCTGTTTTTCTGCTTATGGTCATCCTGCTGATGTGTTGCTGAGGCACTTTATGACAGAGACACATCTTATGCAATAGATGATGAAGTGCTGTGTTAAAATTATCGTTGTCGCACTGGAAACTGTGGTGTTTATTATTGACGAGGAGGCTACATTAGATTTAGTGTTACCCCAAAAAGGCAGTGAAAAAGCAGCCATTAGCTACACATCAGAGCTGTCATCCCCTGTCAGTTTGCTGGTTATAGCTGTGACATGGGCATTAGAGTGAAGTTTTATTTCAGATTGCTCTCTGTTTTTATTTCCGCTTGTACCCAATATAGTTTCCTCTGAAGTGCAACTGCAAAATATTTGCTTTGCCTCAAAATTCTTCTTTTAGTGAGCTTTAGGGAAGATTTATTGTTCCCTTTAGTTAGAAAAGAAAGAATCACAATTCCTAGTACAGTAAGTAGATTTGAGAGGATGGCAAAGGACCAAAAATGATTTGTGGAAATGAGGGTTTATTTCCTGCTTTGGAGACAAATGGTGCTTCTTAAATATAAAGCTCATTTACATGTATGAGTCACAAAATCGTTCTCCTATGCACTGTCAGTGTAGTATCTCCTGGCTGTACATCATAATGATGTCTTATATTGGGCCCTTGGCTGTCTAGTTTCCTGCTTTGGTGAAACAATTCATACAGTAAGCTGAATAGCTTCTTCTATTCCCTGTGAATAATATGTGATTTACTGTCTTTTGTTTTTTCAATCTTGAGGCTCTATTGCGCTTATGTATTCAGCGGCAGAATAATAGAGACAGTGATTGAAGGAAAACTGCTTATAAAGTGTTCAGAGCGTTTAAATGGCAATAAATTTTCTATCGCGTAGTAGGATTGTTTTAATATTTCATACACATATACTTCGTTAAAGTTTGACATATTCAATTTGAAGTGTACTTTAAGAGCCAAATACAAAATGTGTGTGTAAATTTCCCCTCAAGCAACACACTGTTATGTAGGCACTTGCTACTGGTGCTCCACCTAGTGGTGTGTTTTTTTTAATCAACTTACAGTATACAGGAACTTACAGTGCTGTAGAGGACAGTAGATCTCCTTTCCACATTATTTTCATTGTTGTGTTTCTTCTGTGAAATGCACCACACATTTTTTTTCAGTCACTCCTCTGATAATCCAAGGGCACAGAGGGATTAACGCTTCTAAATGTGCTCTATGTACTCTAATTTGGTCATTAGCTTTAAATATGGGAATGTAGAGTTACTTCTATGTTTTTATGAAGCTTAAAATTGTTCACAAATGGCTTGGTGGACTGTCAGCAATCCCTAGAATGGGACAAACACCTGTACATTTTAAAAAGAAAATGAAACATTACTTTTAGAAAGGGCAGCTAAAAAAAGTTTAAAAAAGAAAAGAAAAGAAGAAAGAAAAGCTAGTCAGTCAATGGAAATAACAAAAATATGGCACAAATGTGCCCTGAAGTCTTGACATTTTTGTATTTGCTCTTTTCATTAACAGACTGCATGTACTGAGTATCAGCAGCAGAGACTTGAATTTCTATTGTTTAATCAGATGTTTTCTCTGTATTTCATTTTTCTGCATTGCAGAATGGGCCCAGCAGGTCAGTAGACCCGCGCTAATTGCAGACATGTTTTAAGGACAATACCTCAGCCACCATGAAAGGGTTAGGAGCCAACCGCAGTCGTCACCTGTCTGACTCGTGTGAACCAGCGGGCTGTTCACAGAAGCCTCTGTGTCCTTTGACCTCTGACCCTCACAGCTCCTTTCTGTTGAGCCCTACTATAAACCACTATGGCACTCTGGACCCCCATCTCCACCAGTGCCCTCCCACCAGCCCCACCACCTTGACTCCTGACTGCTTGCTGCCTTTCAGCCAGATGTCCAACAGCAGCACTTTCCCTCGTCTGCATTTTACCTCTCAGACTGACCAGGTTGACTGCTCCCAGGCCTGTATGGCTACCGGTGGTGGAGTTGGGCAGGGCAGCAGGGCAGGGACACTATCCACATCCTTGTCTATGGGTATGGGCTTGGGTCTGGGCCTGACTGGTGCCCCTATGATCACCAGTGGATCGGCCACTATCTCGTCTGCAGCAGCAGCAAAGATGAACCGGTTACCTTCCAGCCTACTGGATCAGCTAGAGAGGCATCTGCCCCTACAGCGTGATGGCTTCAGTACACTGCAGTTCCACAGAGGCCGTATGTCAAAGCAACGCAGTGAGAGCCCAGGACGCATACGCCACCTGATGCATTCTGTGCAAAAGCTGTTTGCCAAGTCTCAGTCCTTGGAAAACTCTGCAATCAAGGGTAGCTTAAATGGGCGCTCTGCAGGAGGAATGACTGGGACTACAGGAAGTGGTGAAGATAGTGGTAGACCAACCCGCAGGAGCAAAAGTAAAGACAGGGCTAAGACTGAAGGGCAAAAGCAGAGACCTAGACCTAGTACACTAGGCCTCTGGGGCTCAGATGATGCCCTGGACACTGACACTACCAAAGCTGGCACTATAGCTGTAGGTTACCGCAACCCACTGAGCATGATGACTCTTGGCAGAGCGGTGTCAGACAGCCAGGCCCCTCCAAGACATATTCCACAGGGCTATAACACAATTTCTGCACATACTCTCAAGACCTCCAAAAGCAGCAGTGACCTCAAGTTCCTGGCATGCCCAGCAACACAAGTAGGATCCAAGGAAGAGGAAGAAAGAACTAGGGGAAGCAAGGACGATACTCTGGTGAAGAGGGGCACTTGGTCCACTCTCACACTTACCCAGGCTAGGCAGGTGTTGCAGAAGGGCTCTGCTACAGTCAACAGGACCATGCTTAAATCAAAATCATGCCACCAAGACTTGGCACAACAGTTCCTTCAGGTAGGAGGGCTTGTGAGTATTCATCTCCATCATCATTTTTTGGAAGTTTGCATGGATCTGTTTATAATTTCTCTGTGTATGTCTTGTTTTTTAATGTTTGAGCACCGGGAATCTTTATTGTCGCATTTGCAAAGTTTCTCACAAGTCATGACAATCATATGACCTTTTTTAAGCCATTGCTGCACATCCTCACAATCATATTGCGAAATACTAGGAAATGCACGCAGGGATACTGTATTATCCTGTATTTTAAAGTTTTTAACAAAGCATTTGTTTGCATAATCCAGGTCCCCCTGGGCGACTGGGCAGGAACTTTGGGTCATGGAAGGACCAAAGGAACTGAGATCCCTTGTCGAAGGATGCGCAGTGGCAGTTATGTCAAAGCTATGGGAGACGTAGAGGACAGTGATGACTCAGAAGGAAGCCCCAAACCTTCGCCCAAATCTGCAGCTCGTCGCCTGAGCTACATGAAAGCCACCCAGCAGTCACTGAGTGAGCAGCAGCCGCCACCGACGCCACGCAAGTGAGTCCCACAGTGTAGTGAGTCAAAATATGACCTTGTTTATCATGCTCATTGTTTTGCCACTGTTGATTTTGTGCCCTTTTACATTACATCCATTAAAATATAAACAGGCACTGGAGGGGTATTTGCTATAGGGGTATTTTTCTCATGCCTCCAAAGGTAGTCAGCAGGTGGCAGCATCCTGTCATGAATAAATGTCAGTATGTGCAAAAGTACTTGGTCAAAACAAGATCCTAGAAGATATACATTGGAGATAAAGATGCAGTCTAATGAAAGGGGACAAGAAACTATATACATTCCATTTATATGTGCTGCAAAAGCAGTCGGTGAACTTGTTGCCATGTGTTTTACCTCTACATCCAAACGGACAGGCCTCGTTGCTACGCTCTCATGCGGGAGGATTATCTGTGGTCTCCTCTACAAAGTGCGTGCTCTATGCAGCATCTGAGGTCAGTGTAACCTAGAGGCAGGCAGTGTGGCCCTAACCACCCTAAGTGATCCTACCACTGTTTTCCATCACTTTTTTTTGCCTAACCCTGCCAGTAATTTTCCTCTCCACCCACAGTTCCATCTTTCACCTTGCAGGTACCCTGAGTGGCGTGTTAGTACTTTTACCCACTTTCTCAAGTCCTGATTTCATAATATGTAAACTTTCCATGAAAATCACTCCAGCACACCCTGTTGCTTATTGCACACACATTTTCACTAACACCAGGCGCCAACTTGGCAAGGCAGAACAGAGGAATTTTTTTTTTTTAAATAAATTGAAATTCAAATCTCTCAAATTCTATTTAGCAGTTTTGCTCTTGTATCTTTATTTCCTCTGTACTGCTATTTAAGCACTAGTACACATCACTATCCACACATCTCAGTCGTGTTTAATTTGAAAAAACCCAGGGGAACATTTCCCTGGTTTAGGTTACTCCTGGATATCATCAATTAAACACAGCCCCTTACTTATTCCAGGCTCTGACTTCTGAGAGGCTGATTATTACGTTCACTTCCACAGCACCCTGCCGTCCCTGAAAGAGCTGTCCACTAATCGGAGCCTTGATAACTTAGACTGCCTGGTGAGTCCTTTAGAGGCCCCTCCACGCCACAGGAACAATGATTTCAGCCAATGCTCTGGCACACTGGGCAGAGGCTCGGGCACTCAGGTATGTCTATGATCTCTTTATTATTTATTGTTGTTATAATTGACAAAGATAATTTTAATTAGTCTGTTTGAATTGGGTCTTTTATTAATAAGTTCCCACAGAGAAGTAGTTTTTGCTGTTTTATTTAAGTGAGCAGTGTACAAAATAATCGAAAGCGCTGCATCACAAACTGCAAAAAACCCAACAATCGTCTTTTGAAAACAGTTAAAATATTAATTTAATGAAGGAAAGATTTAAAGCTGGATTTAATGCAACAATATTTAAAGCATACATACCTTCTAAAATTTCTAAAATTGCATACATTTTATTGACTTCATGAACCCGTGTATATAAAATAGACTGCCACAACCTTTACATTTTGAAGCTACTGTGAGAGAATATTTAAATGAATGTCTATAAGACTGCAGAGATGGTTTATGAATAAACCAGTCGGGAATAAACTTGACGAATCAAAATGATGCCTCAGAGTGTTTGCAGAATTTCAGAGTGGAAGATATGACTCAGTAAAAACCTGAGGGAGCTTGTTGTACATCTTCATCAGCAGGATTGGAGGTAAAAATACCTTTCATAGAGAAGGAATGGCATCACTATCTTTGGAAATGTTTAATATTAATGATAGAGAGACTCGATTCAGGCCAGAGGTAAAGTCAGTCGGACCTAAAGGATTTCTTGGTACTCATGCACAGCTTTTGGAATGAGCAGGCCTAATTTGTCTTGTTTATATGCCACCCACAACACTTTCGTATTTGGTCCTGAAATGCCAAATATAAAAATAACTGCTGATGCTTGTTTCTGCTTCTTTTTATGTCACTTGATCAAACATTTCAGTTGCTGCCGGATGTCAATGCTTTTTCCCATCGTGCAGTGACAACACAAATCCATGCAACAATGAAAGCTATTTTAGGCAACTCAGACAATGCATTGTGATTTACTTTCATACTGACCCCAAGGCAAGCACAAAACAATTAACCTGGTTCTAGGGGTTAGGTGTATTCAATTTTTATACCACTGAACACAGATGTTAAAAATGCCATCACTCTTTAAAGTATCCTACAGCTTTATTACTTAGTATAGACTTTTAGACTGCTGCCCACACACTTCAAATTTCCACATTTTTATTTCCAACCCCATCACACATCTCACGACCCCACAGATTTGTTTTGTTAGTCTTTGGATGACACCCAAGACCTAGTTTTAAAACCACTGCATAAAATACTTGAATGTATAAAGCAGTTTTAGGAAACTCCTCACACGACCACAGGGACATTTTTACCGCATCTCTTTTGGCTTCATTTGCTGTTGATGCTTTGGTTTTACTTTAGTAAGATTTTTATATCTGAGCAGTTTTTCCATCATAAGCACAGGTCTGTTTAATGCATGTTTATCAGTCTGCCCTCTGCCCTTAGCGTGTGAGTCTGCACACGTTCTTTCAGGTATGCGGGCAGGGCTGTGGGCACTCTGTACCGTACTGTGAGGGGGAATCGCAGGCTGTTGAGGCTCTGGATCTGCCTGCGCCTACATGCTTCCGGTCTCGCAGCCATAGCTACCTGCGGGCCATCCAAGCAGGCTGCTCCCAGGATGAAGACACAGCTTCTGTGGATTCAGAGTCACCACCACCCACCACTCCAGGCTATAGCTACAGCTCCAACACCAGTGAGTACCCGTAAGAAGAAGGTGGTCTTAGTGATTGCAATAAGATTACAAAGATTTGAAATTACCTTCGAGACATTCAATTCATTTTGAATTGATTTATATAGCACCAATTCACAAAAACAGTGGCCTAAAGGTGCTTTACACTATAAGGAAAAGACCCTAAAATATTAGAGAAAAAACCGCAACAATCAGACGATCCCATGTGAGCAAGCAAACCAGCCTAAAGGAGGGGCAGTCATCTAGGGTCACTGGCTTGGGAGATGAGAAGAGAGAAAGAGCATAGAGAAGAAGAAAGACAAACTATGGGAGAGAGAACAAAGGTAAATGTATCAGGAGTAAAAAAGAGGAGCGTAGAAGAAAGTGCATCATGGCAAGTATGAGCCTAAAGCAAGCATGGTTCAGGGTCAGATGATTTCTGCTGTATTTACTCCGCTTCATAATAGCAAAAGTAAGTATTGTCTGGAAAATTGCCCCTTTAAGGAAGAGGCCACTTTCCTGAAATCCAACTTGTTTTACTGTTTTTGAAAGGTACACCGAGTAACAATTTCACTGTGTATACTTAGTGTATGCAAAAGACACCACATGCGCTGCTATTATAATAGTCTTGACAATACTGTACACCTTAACTATTATAGGTATAATTCAAATAAATAGTAGGTTACTTTCCATTGTTAAAAACGTAAAGTAAAAAGGTAGCACATGCAAAAAAAATAAGATTTTTTTGTGTGTAGGTGTTACCTTTTCACCTATGGGGTTTAAGTGTTAAACTTAAATAACTGTGGTTTAGAAAGGCAGATCCTTTTAAAGATCTATGTAGAGTATTCCTCTTGTTTTATTGCAATAGATAAACACATATCTACCAAAGTACGGGCTTTTGTTATTAAGGTGCTCATGCTTTAACAATAAGAGTTTGCAGCATATTCAGTCTGCAGCTGGATATTGCAAGCTGCTCTCTTCTTTATCGCTGAGAAAATGGATGGAAGATGTACAGCACCTTTCACATAATCATTATTAGATGGAAAACTAAACTCAAGAACATTTTGCTTGGCACATTTTTTCTGTATCTTTTTTCATTTATGTGTAACATTATTGTTATGTTTTCAGGGAAAAGTGCGCAATAATGACTCCTCCAGGCTGACAGGGTGAAGGTTAGAGATGCTGTTTTAGAGAGATAGAGAGATTTGCAGATAAGCAAAGAAAACTATCTATTTTTTCGCCTAGAATTCAGTTCAAGCATTGTTGCAGTAAAGAAGAAAAAATCTGAACATTTCTTAAAAACATCTACTGTGTCTATAGTAAATTCATGCAGTAAATCAAGCTTCACTTCTGTTTTTATGGTGCATGTGTGTATATATTTGTGTATTATTATTATTATTGAACAAATTGCCCTGTAGCTTAAAAGTGTCAGAGTTGTGATGTGTGGTTAGTATTTTTCTTCTAAAGAATTCTATATGACTTTGATGTTAAATCATAAATTCATACTTATGAGTATTTTAAAAAAAATTAATTATAGTCCGAGATACTTTTAGTGGTACTTTTAGCTATTCACCACAAAGATCTCCATGTTTGATTTGGCACAGTTTTACACCCTCCCTGATGCCACCCTCCAATTTATCTGGGCCAGCATGAGGGACACACAAGCCTCTGATCTCCTGAGGCTGGTTTTATTTCCCTTTGCGGTCTCAAGACAGGGATCTTTCACATGTAAGGCAAATTTGTTAACTACTACAACATAGAGGCAGGTGGATTTTTCTTAGGTCAATGGTGAATCAAAGTTTTAGGGACTAAAATTTCTGATTATTAATGTTTTAAATTTTTATCTGATTTGATTTTTGCGTCTGTACATATGCGAATGGGAAAAAGCTGGACTCTATATGGACTCAATGTATTTAAAAAAATAGTTAACAAGCTAATGTAAGAGCAGAACTTGACTCTGTATCACCTCAGCTCAGCTGTCTACTCTGCTACATATACTGCAGAGAGATCTAATCTTAAATAATGAAGATCTTGAATAATGACGCTGGAGCTATTCTGCTGAACAAACTATGTGACTTTTTTTTTTCTAAATGACCACAAACATCTTTTTTTATTCTTCTTTATGTTCTGTAAAGAAAAGGTTTTCATCTCAGCAGTGTCAGGACAAGGTATTTGCCCTATTTCTGATTTTTTTATATACTTGTCCACTGGAAGTTTCCAATCATCAAGCAAAATGTAATATTAGACAAAGATAACCTGAGAAAATACAAAATGCAATATTTAAATTATGATGTAATTTGTTAAGGCAAAAGAGCTATCCAAACCTACCTGGTCCTGTGTGAAAAAGTTATTGCCCGTCTTGTTAAGTAATTAATTAACTGTGATTAACCACATTGTTTTGAGCTAACATCAATTTCATTAGCTATACCCAGGTCTGATTACTGGCAGACCTGTTGAACCAAGACACCACTTATATCAAACCTGTATGACAAAGTGAAGTAGCTTATAAGACCTTTAAAACTACACACCATTCCACAGTTATTATTATTACAGTCTAAAGAAACTCAGGAACAGACGAGAAACAAAGTCATTGACATCCCTCAGACTAGAAAGGGTTACAATGCTATTGCCATTTCTAAGGGTTTGGGACTCCTGTCAAACACAGTGAGAGCCATCATCCACAATCGGAGCAAGCTTGGAATAATGGTGAACCTTCCCAGGAGTGGCCAGCCTACCAAAATTACTCCAAGAGCACATCGGCAACTGATCCAGGCCACAAAAGAACCCAGAACGTCAATTAAGGAACTGCAGGCCTCACTTGTCCCACTTAAGTTCAGAGTTCATGATTCAACAATAAGAAAGAGACTGGGAAAAAATGGTATCCATCAGAGAGATACAAAAAACCCACAGCTAACCCAAAAGAACACAAAGGCTCTTTCTCTCATTTGCCAAGAAAAAAACATCTTGATGTTCACCCAAGATTTTGGGGGAAAATATTCCGTGGAGTTTTGAGACAAAAGTTGAATTTGTTGGAAAGCTTGTTTCCTGATACATGTAGGGTAAAACTAACACAGTATCAGTACATAAAAAGAACATCATTCAAACATGGCAGTGGTAGTGTAATGGTCTGGGGCTGATTTGCTGCTTTAGGATGGAATCATTAATTCTGATCTCTACCAGACAATGCTGAAAGAGAACCAACACCAACAAGTTCAACCATCAATGGCACAAAAAAGAAGAAAACAAGTCTGAAAAGAAAAGTGGGCCAAAATTCTTCCACAGCAATGTGAAAGACTCATTGTTAGTCACTGCGAACGCCTGACTGCTGCCAAAGGTGGCACAACCAGTTATACAGTTTATTGGGGCACCTTTATCATATTGGGGCACCTTTTTCATGAAAGGTCGGGTAGGTTTGGATAACTCTTTTCCCTTAATAAATTTAAAAACTGTATTTTATGATTACTTGTGTTATCTATGTCTTATATTAGTTTGTCGGATGATCTGAAACATAAAATTGTGACAATCATACAAAAAATAAGAACTCGGGAAATACTTTTCAAATACTTTTACCTGTGTAGCGACACAATATATATCTGTGAAAGATGAATATAAGCTGATAATGTTGGTTGAGCTCTACGCGCCACCCAGCAATTTAGAAATGTTTTCTGTCTAGGGTATCTATTTGATATACTGCAATTCACATGTCTCATTGCTTCATGTACCTAATTCTATTAAAATCTTATATATGAAAACCCTATATTTATATTGTACTCTTGCCTCAAAGACTAATTTTTCTGGTTTCATGCAGGGCTTTTTTTTTAATTAAAATCACAGCATTATAGCATGATTGTAATAGGAGAATAAGGCTATAGAATAATAATAATTATATATATATATATATATATATATATATATATATATATATATAAAATAGGAGGAGACATAGGAGGAAATAGCTCAGTTCACTCCTTTGTTGGGGTAACAATAGATCACCACATGCTGGATATGTGCTTATTTTTTTTATGTCTAGACTTAAATCCGTTCCCGCGGCGCCGCAGACAAACTGAGGCGCACCTACCGTGAACACATTCATAAACAACGTAATACCCAGACATAAACCAATCACCTTCGTGTTCGATTAGTTTGAGGTCCGGCTCTGTCCAATCGTTTAGAGAAATCGGTTACGGAGAAAACGTGGACTCCAATCCTCGTCGTCAAGGGCGTGTACTACAAATCTTTTCTTCAGTGTTCGTTGTGACTCCCAGGCACTACACCCGTGTCCATCTCGTCCGCCGTTCGTGAATGAACAGAAAATAAGGATTTCTCCGAGTCTACCACTAACAGTAAGGTCTTTGTCACCTTTTTCCCGGTTGAGCGTTATGGTTCTGACAGTCAGCTGCTGTTTGCTACGCTAGCAACAGCGAGCTAACGTAAGCTAATGGTGTGGTAGGTTAACTAGCTAGCTAACGTGGATGAAGAAAGAGGATGAAACCCTGATACAAGCTGTTTGAGCGAGGCGAGGAACAGCAATGTTGGCTGCCTGTTTTTAGAGTGAAAAGCCATCTCGTTGTTGCCCCGCTGATATCGACTATACAGCGCCTCCGGGTACCATTACTCAACGTTAAATACCCTGTGTGATAGCACGCCGCGGCAAGCCCTGGACTGGCTAGCAGCAAAGGCTAACGGTAGCCGAGCCGTCACCAGCCCGTTAGGGACATCCCGGCGCGGGCTTAGTTTGGCTAACCAGCCCGTTTATTAGCTAACCGTGGCTAGTGGGTTGTGTGGGTGAGTGATCTTATATTTCCAAATAAGTTTTTATTAGAGACGGTTGTAAGTCGTAATCCACTGCCACAGATCGTTAATTAAAACGATAAAGAAGCTCAGCGGCTCAGTGTGCTTTAAATTGAGCTCATTGGGTATTTAATTTATCTCCCCGGTGGTCTTTTGGATTAACGTTAGATGAGGTAACGGCTCTCTCTTATCCCGGACATGTGACAGTGATGTGTGTCCAGAGGCACGAAGAA